CAATAGGACAAGAGGCCATGGGCAGAAACTGATGCACAGGAAGTTCCACATGATCATGAAGAAGAACTTCTTCACTCTGTGGGTGACTGAGCACTGGAACAGACTGTCCAGAGAGGACATGGATTCTCCCTCACTGGAGATATTCAAGAACCGCCTGCATGAGATCCTGTGCCATGTGATCCAGGATGACCACGACTGAGCAGGGAGGTTGGACCAGATGCCCCACTGTGATCCCTTCCAACTTGACCCATTCTGTGACTCTGTAATAGACTTATGCAGCATGGGCATATAAAAAAAGGCACAAGGATAATTCCCTCAGGGATAAAGGACTGATTAGAAACAGTGCTTCAAGGACTGCCTTGAGGATCAGCAAACTTAAGTCATTGTATTTGAAGCACAAGAACGAATGTTAAAAGCATACCTATAATTTTATTGCAAAAGCCTCCCACTTCTCACATCTAACATTTGAGGTCATGATTAACACAAAGGCATAGGCAATTTAGGTATTTGCCTGCTCATACAAGGGGTCATTTGAAACAATCAAGCAGTGGTGAGAATAACTACTATGCCCACGGAGACACTGCTCACAACTGTGTGCTAAAGCAAAACACCTCTTTAAGGGGATTAAATATAAAGGTTACTCTAAATTATAGCTTTTGTGTACGTGAGTAGGAATTTTTTCTTATTTGTACAGGGTTCCACAAGTTCAGATATAATTCTTATCTCCGGATGTCATGCCAATTGTCTGCTGAGTGAAGGAGGTGCCTTATTCTCAACAGCTGTTATAGGAAACAGTTATACCTATGTCACACCTACTTGGTATTTTTGTCTTGGGCACATTAATCGCATTAGAGCCCAAACCAGTTGAGCTGCTCTTCTGAACATCAATCCAACAAGGAATTTAAGTTTATACCTGACTTTATACATGTAAGTGTATTAATGAAAACTGCTCACATTTTTGAAGCTAGACAGGTACTACAATTCCTTATGTGAACCCAATTTCTTAATGATGATGGACTGAGACTAGCTGGGGAGGAAGACTTGGGTGTGTTTGTGGATGAAAAGCTCAATACGTGTGCTTGTAGTTCAGAAACCCAACCACATCCTGAGCTGAAACAAAAGTAGCATGGCCATCAGGGTGAGGGAGGTGATTCTCCCCCTCTTCTCTACTCTTGTGAGATCCCACCTTGGAGTACTGGGGTCCCCAAAAAAAGGAAAGGTACGGACCTATTGAATGGGTCCAGAGGAGAGACACTAAGTTGGTCAGAGGTCTGGGGCACCTGACCTAGCCTGGAGAAGTGAAGGCTCCAGAGAGATCTTACGGCAGCCTTCAAGTACCTAAAGTGGTTGGAGAGGGACTTTTCACAAGGACATGTAGTAATAGGACAAAGGGGGACAGCTTTAAGCTGAAGGAGGGTAGGTTTAGATTGGATATTAGAAGAAAATCTTTACTGTTAGGGTGGTGAGGCACTGGAACAGGTTTCCCAGAGAAGTTGTGGGCTCCCCACTCCTAGAAATGTTCAAGACCAGGTTAGATGGGGCTCTGAGCAATTTGGTCCCAGTGGATGGTGTCCCTGCCCATGGCAGTACCCATGTTTCATGGCACTTCTGTGGACTTCAGACCGTTAATCTGCTAGCGGGGTAGTAAATGAATGCTGCTTTATTTTGCAACTGCAAACATCCTCTCTGCACCAAACAGAAAACACAGTTTCTCTAGTGATTACCAGACAAGTCACACATGATGTCCAAATTCACTTCCTCATCTTCTCAACCAGGAGTCATCAAAAAATGTTGCCCCAACAATGAACAGTGCTACTTGCACAAAACTTAGGATATCATTGAAATTAAATAAAACCTGTGATGTGTGCTAAAGGAAATAAAAAACTGGGTTACAGAAAGGAAGAAGTCCCGAATCTGATTTGGTAAAACACAGGGCAGCAGAGCAGAGTGGAGGGTATTCTGAGTGTGCATGGAAGTAATCTGCATGAAACTGTTGTGGTGAACTTCCCATGCTTGGAGATATTTCTAGCATCCTACACATCAGATCAGAAAACATGATGACACAGCAGGGAGCTGGGGAGGAATGATGTAGTAAGCCTCAGAAGAGCCGTGGGGCAAGAAGATCTGTGCCCACATCTCTGCACCATGAACCACACTCCCCCTTTCTGAGAAAACTAACAGTGAGTTCCCTGTCATAGTTACAGCACCATCCATCAGGTGTCAAAGAAAACACATCTGAAACATATAAACATAAAATAAAATGGCAATTCTAGCAGTTAAAGGGTACTGACACCTAATTACCTGTAACCTCATTCAAAACAATAAACTCCAAGCAGCCAGACATTCACAGTACCCTTGATCACACGGAGCAGAGAAGTAGTGTCAAAAAAGATGAAGCCTTCCAGAGGACTCTGTAAGCATGCCTGGTGAGGGATGCTTGCCACCCATGCCTGATAGCTGTGTGAAGGATTTAAGCCCCAAATTTCTTTCAACAGTCCACAGAGGTACAGTGCTGTGAAAGTTCCACTCTTCCCTAGATGATGGGAAGAAATGTGATAAAGCAGAAGCTGAAAGGACTACACACATTTGAAACCTCTATATAAGTATATGCATATATATATATATATATATATATACGTATATATACACACACATATATATAACCAACATTATCATGTGGAGTCACACTCAGCTCTGCCCACAAAAGGAAAGGATAGAGCTACCTGACCTCCTTACACTTTCATATATCAGCATAAACTTCGCCATTGGAGAATCACAGTGTTAAAAAGAATCACCAAAGTGCCCTCCTGGACAACAGTATCTACAGGGAGATATCACCAAGAAGCAGTTACCGTCCTAATAGGCATATTTCTTTTTTTTTTTGTTCTGTTTTACAGCAAAAATATATTCTTAGTATTCACAGTAGTACTTTTTCAAAGACAGGTTATATAAAGCAATACAACACACACACACAGAGGCACGCAAAAATAAAATGTGAATGACTCATTGCACTTATGCAAACTAAGTTGCGTAAGCCTGTTTTTCTCAGCTCTTAAAAAACCCAAAACAGCACATACACAACCCTAAAAAATGAGCTGAAATTCTCAGTTATGAAAGTTAAAACTGCTGAATAAAAGCAGAACTCCCTCAGCTTCTCAGGGTCCTTCACACCCACATCTGGTGTAGTGTTTACCGATGGACAAAAATAGAAAGTTGAAACTTAGTAGACCCTAACATTTATCACAGTATTTAAGAGTCAAAACAGAAAAGTGACATTCACTTCAGGCAAAATAACCCTGAACAGGGAGAGATCAACAGCTACATTTTGAAGGGGATCCAGTTAATCCTCTCTGAAATACCACTCTTAGGTACAGGGTAGAAAGAAAATAATCAGCTATATTTCTTCAACAAGTAGGTAATTATAATAATGCAAACTGAAAAGAATGTAATCTTTTAAAACAATCTTGCAGAATTTCCTCTAAACCATTACATACCACCCATATTAATTGTTGGCAGATGACATCACAGGAGTTGGTTTCTTTAGACGTGCATAAAATCCATCTTTCTTGCTAAAGAGCAGGAGTATTCTCTTATCTGACAGAACCAGCAGTCAACAGCAGGAATGATAGAGGTGGGACACGAGCACGTGGGACACGAGCACGTGTGTCACTGTTCAGGGGTTCAATAACCATCATCTATCCCAGGCACATGGCATCCCTGATCAGCCCATAAACTATAGGTCTTTGACTTCAGATTTGGAAAAGGCATCAATAGTTTGGCACACCAACCTTTAGAGCTGCCAAATTATGCCTTTGAACAGATAGGCTGCCACAAAATTTAGATAAATTAAGCCCTGGATTAAGGAAGGTGTGTAGCATAAATGAACCTTCTAATGTCTTCTCAGAAGTGTGATCCACAATAATTTAAGAGAGCATTTGCAAATAATCCTTCTTAAATTGCAGTAGTAGCATTACTTCGGTAAATTATTCAAATCTACTGCTGATGAGATGATATCGGGCCAGAAAATTATATGAGTCAGCTAACATAGTCTTACAAGATCCTGTTCTCTCATACACAGCACATAGGCAGGGCATGTGACTGCTCAGCCATTGGATCCTATGAGCACCTGAATGTCATAGAATCATAGAATGGTTTGGGTTGGAAGGACATTTATTTCCAACACCCCTGCCATGAGCATGTTGCTCAGAGCCCCATCCAACCTGGCCTTGAACACTGCCAGGGATGGGGCACCTACAACTTCTCTGGGAAGCCTGTTCCAGTGTTTCACCACTCTCATAGTAAAGAATTTCTTCCTAATATCTAACCTAAATTTCACTTCTTTCAGTTTGAAGCCATTACTCTTTATCCTATCACTACAGTTCCTGACCAAGGATCCCTCTCTGGCTTCCCTGTAGGCCCCTTCAGACACTGGAAGGTTGCCATGAGGTCTCCACACAAACTTCTCCAGGCTGAACAGCCCTGACTTTCTCAGCCTCTTTATAGGGGATGGTGCTCCAGTCCTCTTAGAAACTTTGTGGCCTCCTCTGGACCTGCTCCAACAGTTCCATGTCCTTCTTACACTGGAGGCAACAGAACTGTACACTATGCTCCAGGTGGGGCCTGACAAGAGCAGAGTAGAGGGGGAGGGAGGCAGAATCCCCTTCCTCACCCTGCTGGCCACGCTCTTGTTGATGCAGCCCAGGATTCCATTGGCTATCTGGGCTGCAAGCTCATGCCAGCTCATGCTGGCAATCATCAACCATCACCCCCTAGTCCTTCCCCACAGGGCTGCTCTCAGTTGTTCCTCTGCCCAGTGTGCAGGAGTGCCTGGGATTGCCCTGACCCAGGTGCAGGACCTTGAACTTCTCTTTGCTGGACTTCTGAAGTTTGTATTGGCCCACCACTCAAAGGTGTCCAGATCCCTCTGGGTGGCATGCCTTCCCTCCAGTGCGCTTATTGCACCACACAGCTTGGTGTCATCAGCACTTGCTAAGGGTGCACTCAGTGCCATGTCCTGGGGATGGCTCACAAGCTGCAGCCCTGCTCAGCAAGAGGGAAAGCAGCAAACCTGAGCGTCCCACTGTTCGTGCCTACGTCTCCAGTGCTGAGCAGAGTCGTAATGCCGAGGTGAGGCAGGAGGACCCTGGGGTGGGGCATCCCACAGTGGGGTGGAACAGAATGGAAGAGAATGCCGCACTGGGAAAAAACAGCAAAGAACTGAACACAGGAGGGAGGCTGGGGGTTGGCTCAGAAGGAACCTGAGGCAGGGCAACAAGAAGTTTGAAAGGTGAGGCTGCTTTGCTGAGGACACCGAGTAGGCACTAGAACAGTAGACATTATAAGTAAGAAGAAAACCCCTAGCACACCTTGAGTTAGAAGCTGCAACTCTATCTTAGGGTTCCAGCACCTCCATTCCAGCTTTGTGACTAGGACACCGTGATGGTATCTCTCACAAGAGAAAGAGCTGCCTGTTCTGTTTTAATGATACACAGGACATGAGTCTGGTTCTGTGCCCACTGCCTGTTACTTATTCAACACGACAGACACATGGAAAACAGAACAGAGTATATTTAGAGGAAATAAAAGCGTAGACTCTAAGGCCACAAGACCCAGCTCAGTGGTTCTATAAGATATCTTTAGAAAATTACCATTTTCTGTGTTGTGGTAAATTAACAATTTCTATTTGACGAAAATATTGACTTTTTTCGAACTATAGAGTTGGTGCTAATGATAAAAAACCAAATTCTTGCTCTCTGTCCCAAGAGCAACCAAAGCAGCCCTGATTATCAGAGAGCTCATGGATGACCAGACTTCAGTTTGAAACTGTTGCCAGTACATCAGCTTTGAAGTACAGGTTTCAAGCATACTGGTAACCCAACAGTCTGCCTGCTCTATTGCCTCAGCCACAGAGACAGACAACATTCAGGAACCAGTTCTGTCTGCTCTGGAAGACAGCCCAAGGCAGAATCAGCAGTTCCACCGCCTTCAAGTTAATCTCAGTTAACACTAACGACGCCAAGAAACAGCTACATTCATGGACTCCACTTTTACCAAGATGCTTGTGGTGCTAGGGTGAAATGTCCTTCAAAACTGAAAAGTAGCCTAGGTTTGGCTTCAGAAAAGACTTCCAGGTATCACACAGAGTCAGCTGATGCATGGCTCTGCCCTCCACTCCATGACATTTTGGGTCAGTGCAGAGTGAGGTTGAGCTGAGGGACAGTACCCCATGCTAGCCATCCTCAACCCCAAATGTCTTGCTAAGGACCTATCAGTAAGACACTGATGAAACAAGTTTCAATATCAAAGCCACTGCAAAATATTCCATTCTGGGAAACCAAATGAGGACAGTTTGCATATCTGACTGCTTTAAGCAAGTTGCTGCAGGTACCAGAAACTTCAAGCACTGCAGCACAGAACTTTGCATGGGTCATTTGTGCTGCACTGTGCCACATAAACTGGGTCCAGAAGTTATATAACCTTGTCAGCTAAGACAAACAAACAAAACAAATAATAATAAAAAAAATCTGTTTGTTAAAGGAACTAAAGTGCATAATCACTGATAAATTCTGCTTGACTGCTATAAACAATACTAGGTTGAGAAAGACACAAGGAGGGGCTGAAAGAAATCATGTGACACAAACCTAAGACCTATCCTCTAATCTTAACTCTATCCACTCTGTCCCATCAGAAGTCATATAAATTAACTTTCAGATCTGAAGATGCCTTTTAATTTTGAGGAATAAAATAAAGCAGAAGAAAGTTCCAGTCCTACGAAGTTTTATGTGGGTAGTTAACTCTATTTCCACAGTTTTTCAAGTCACATAAAGTCAAATCATGTGTAAATTTTTGCATAACGCAAATTTTCCCCTGTTAGCCTTTTCAGAAGAAGAATAATTTTGAATGCTAATATAAGCCAGAGTATTGTGCATCTACAATTAATACTACTTCAGTGCATTTGGATTTCCATTCAACCTTTGTCATTTGACAGAGCCATAAACAAACTAACCAGTTTATTTCCTGCATTCTGTCCTTCAAACAGAGGACAAAGACAAAATGCCACATCAGATAGGGCAACATGTACTATTACAAGAAGCTATTTTCTTGAAATCTGCTAAAAATATCTACTTGGGTTTCACAACTTCATCCTGACCAGTAACAAGGAGCTCTGAATTCCACTGGAGATGGAGAACATTACATGCTGTTACCCCATAGTGTTGATAAATTAAGTTTATTTTTAGGAAGCACAGACTCTACTTTCAGAAAGTACCACCACGACTACACCCAGCTTCTTTTTTAAGGGACAGGCAAGATTAGTTATGCTACTGATTCAAGGCAAAGGTAGGGATTTTCATCCTGTGTTCTTCACCAGTTCTTTACAACTTCCTGGTCTTCCTTCCTTCCGAGCAGGAGGATAAAGAGCAGGAGTATGGCTTCATTCTTTGTGAGACTGTGTGCGTGCGAAGAAGCAATGATGACTGAAAAAGGAGGCTGGTAACAGCTCAGAAATTTTGTTTTACATATTTACAGAGCACAAAAGCATGGTTTCTCTGAAAATGACAGTCCAGCTTCCAGGTTGCGCACAGGGGTTTTGCTGAGGCTGTAATTGATAGACTGACGTAGTTACAAATGTGAAATGCTGAAGGATTTGCCCAGGTCAGAAGATGGATATCCCTGAGAAATGTCAGTCTAAGTGAAGCCCAAGAGCTGGAATTCAGCAACTCACACTCACAGGGTTTCTGAACAAGAACCTGCGCGCTGACCATATGAGACACTCTGATGTTCCAATCCAGCCAGAATAGGTAAATCAGCTCCTAATCAAAAAGCATCACTGCTGGGCACCCTTCTCGAGCCAACAAGCCCAAAAGGATAATGATGGGAACGAAACTGTTCTTTCAGCCCCAGAGGCAGGGCTGTGCCACACTGGCACAGCTGCTCTGCAAAACTGGAATGACTCCTGTGCTGCCAGCCTTGGTGTTAATGGAAGATGCTAGGCTCAGCAATTACACCAGACAAGTCACACATGATGCCCAAATTCACTTCCTGGTCCTAACGAGATAATTGAAAAGTCAGATACAGAGGCTGCCTTCTTTTCATTAAAAAACCCAAACATTTAAAATACTCTTCATGCACGAGGGTATGATGATCATACAGGCATATATGTGACTACATAGATTACATATTAACAGAGACATATTAAACATACATAAATGTGGCGCGTTTATGTGGGTTTCATATGTGTTTCACAGAATTACACAAAATTCCTTTCTGTAATCACCACTTGAGTTATGCACACAGTTACTGCTCACCCAAAGAGTGCTTGTGTCAGTTCTTCTAAATTTACTTTGAAAATATCAGTGCTAAATTTAGGTATAGTTAATTTTTAACATTAATTATGCCATTCCAGATATTAAAGCCACTGATATCTGCTAAAAATACCAAACACTGTGTCCCATACAGCATTTATGTTGTTTAAACAGACCCTCTACCTAACAGGGAATAGATACAAATGACACCCAAATGCTCTGCACAGGACACTTCTTCAGAGTACTGCTGGCAGCTCGAGCAATGCCATGCCACCTTAAGTTGCTTGTGGAGTTGGGGAATTGGTGTGGACAGGTTGTGGCAGGAGGAACAACGACAACAGAGAAGACATCTATAGTTCAATAAAAATTTTCCATGAAACAGTGTTTGCTTAGCATACAACATAAGCACAGATGGGTCTGGTTTTTTTGCTGTGCTACCCTAAGCCAGCAATAGAAATCTAGTAGCATACAGCTACAAACTGCCACATAGACAACTTGACCCATTTTATAACCTGTGGCCTAAACTTTAGCTGTGGGTTTACCAAAATTCCAATATAAAATGACTTGGAGAACAACAGAACAGCAACAGTTTGTGCAAATTCCAGCTTTACAGTTATTGAATAGACATAGGCATATATGCATTGCCTCTGCAGACAGCTGGTATATTACATGACATTTTTTAATATACACAACCTATTTTATTCTCATTTTCAAGGATGAAAACGCTGATAACATAAACAGTCGGTACGAAAAGGTGTCATCTATATGACTACTGAAACAATTTTCAAGTGCAGCCCTACAAGTCAAAGCCCTGTGTCAAAGAATACTGCAAGAGAAGCCAACTCTGAGGAATGGTAATGAAGGGGGCACGTGCTGGGACACCATATGTGCTGTACAAACAAGACCCCTCTCAGCTGCTGCATCTCTCAGCTCCCTTCAGCCTCTCACAAATTAAGTCCAGCTGATTGCCAACTGCAGCTGCAACAGCAAGCAAGTTCTTTATCAGGACTTCTCTATTAGTAGCTACGGGCAACCAACCTTGGAGCTCTGCCTGCTCTCCTACCTGCAGAGGTATGCTTGTGTATAAGGCCTGAAAAACAAACACATCAGGCTCCTGTAACCAAAAGTTTACCATTTTGATCCACCAATGCCAAGTGAAAATACGTCCGGCACGGTCAGACAGATGGAAGCCCCCTGCCTTCTGAGTGGTTGGTCAGTCACATATTGTCTTACAGGCACCTGGAAGGGGCTGCAGGGGGAAGGCAGAGGGGGGACTCACAAGGTAGCAATGGTTACAGGATATAGATCAGAGACATGAGAAATACTTGGATGGCATTACCTGCCACACAGTTTAAATCTGTCAATATCATGCAGAACTTTCAGCTGTGCATCTTCTGATGTGTTTCACAAGAAGCCTGTGTTATGTGGAAACAGGTGAACAAGCACAAGCACAAACTATTTCCCAGCACTGCTCTGCAAAAGCAGTATTTACTGGTTTTCTTTGAATTAGAAAGCCTCAAGATGACATACAGGAATTGAGCCCTGTCATTCCTCTAGGGTGAAGCACTAGCCTTCTTCGCATACGCAACGCAGCAGCAAGCTCAGAAGCATCTTGTGTATCCTGATTGCTAGCGTCACCTGTCAAGCTCTAGGCCAAACCTACATACCATAAAGACCCCTTTCTCAACAGACATAGTTCAGCTGGAGGAGAAAGATGGCAGCAGAGCACACTTTTGATCCCAAGTTGCCTTATAACACCTGACCAAGAAGGGACTCCCTGACCTGTGAGGGGAATTCCCCCAACTAACACCAAAGTTTCCATTCCACCAAAATAACTCCCCTGTTCCAGCTCAGAAGGTGAGACTTTAGGACAGTGGGACCATGAAAAAGAGATTATGTACAGCATCCCCCTGTCTGTCACCCAGAGCTTCCTCTGCCCTCTGAGAACACTCCCTTCTACTGGTGCTCCATTAGAGGGGTAGAAGATCCCAAGATAAAGGGTCCCAAGAAGGATAGAGGGATAGAAGGTCCCAAGTACCACTTTTAGGATGTTGGGGTTTTTTTGTTGTGTTTGGTTGGTTGGTTTTGTTTTTGTTTTTAGTTTGATGGTATTAATCCAGAATTCTGGAGAGGTGAATGAAAAGCCCTAAAAAGCACTTTGAAAAATTGTGTTTCACACCACATGCATGTTTTAACTTAAGAATCTTGATGGTCCATTGCCACAATATGCTACATCTCCCACTGGTACACCAGACATCACTGCCAAAACACTCAGCCCTTGTCTGTCCATGAAGGCACCTGAACCTTTACAGGATTGTGTTGGATGTTGCACTCCCAAATAACATTAAATGTTCTCAGTCTAGCTGATTAGACACCTCATTCAGGCCCAAGTCTCAGTCTTAAAACATAGAAACCAGGTGTTCCTGCTGAAGGGGTTGAGTCTAACACGTATATGTCAGTGCACTTCCACTCCACCCATGGGATCAGGATGATATAAAAAAATAATAGACACCATTGTCTTTTTCAGCACAGCTGGAGCTGACATGGGTTTTACCCTGAATGTGGGACAATCAGAAGTCATCGACTCTTTTCCTAAAGAGCTGTAAGTCTTCCTTCCACAGGAAAGCATCCTGGGTGCCTCAGCCTAGAGGGCTCAATCGTCAAAGCCACTGTAACTTCACTACTGACCAGCAAATTACTGGTGTGGATGCAGGACATGCATGAACACACATGGGAAAAAAATGAGCCTCCACAGCCAGGAAACTGGGACACCCACCTGAGGGTGGGGAATCCTCCATTTTGGTCACCAAATGGAGCATGGAAGCAATCATATGAGCAGGAGCAAGAACACCAGTCCTTTTCTTACCAGTCATGAAAAACAAAATAAAACAAAACTTTATACATTGAAAAAAAAATCTCTAACATGGAAGGAAGGACATGGGCAGTAGCCAAGTAATTGTGCTATTGCCTTGCAGCAAGATAAAAATGTGAATTTGAACAGAGGAGACAGGTAACTGAATTAATTTGTCTCAAAAGTCAGCAACCCTCTTGCAGTCTAGAGAATGCCAAAGTTTAACACTAGGGTCTGGATTCCACTCAGAGACCCAAATATCTGCAGTCCACCAAAGTCCTCTGACAGACTTTTACATAGCTACTTCTTCTCCCAAAGTGCTGCTTTCCCCTCAAGTTAAGTGGTTCATATCACCCCAATAAGCTCATTATAACCAACTACGCTGGTACTTTCTGCATAGCTTCTGACATTCTTGTCTGCTGAAACTCCTCTGACCTTGGGGCTGTATCCCACGGATCCTGCTTTAATCCACCCCTACATTTTTCCTTAATGAGGTTCATATACCCCTATGCACCATACACAAACACACACACACACAGAGACAACGTTTTAAATAATTAGTAGTTTTCCCTTAAGGGTAAAAATGTGCTGTAATAGTATTTCTTTTTGTTATGAAATAATGTAAACGACCTTGGTGTGGTAATATTTCATAATAGGTCTGTGTTATGCAATTAAGGCTGTAGGATTCAGATGACTTACGTGCACCTGGAGATACTGACAGATGCTGGGGACTTGGAGCTGTTGAAAAGCACATATCCCTGTGCTTACATACACATACACACACGGGTAAACACACGCACAGAATGACATATGCATCACCTGTCTACATCCTTTTACAAAAAAATACTAGGTACAGTAAGGTATGTGTAGTTTAATTTCTGGTAATTTCCTGTTCTCTTCAAATAAAGATCCCTTTGCAAATCTTGTGGCTCTTTTTTAAGGAAGGTAGATCTCCTGCCTTCTCTTCTGTAAACCTTGTTGACTTCAGCAAGGCCAGGGCAACTCAAAATTCTCAGCTTTGATTTTTATTCTTTTCCTCAGATTTCTGTTTAGCTTGAAGAGAAAAATGCAGAAACTTGCCAAATGCTCATGTTTGCAAAGCAAATCCTACTGCCAAGAACATAATTATTTATTTGTTTAGTGACATTTTTCCTTCACTTTTAACATCATTGGGTTAAGATAATGTGAACGACAGCATTCTCATGAAAAAGTTTCACACTTCATCTTCCTCTTTCTTTAATTCCAACAAAGGCAGTGGCTGACTCTGCATGACCAAAGGTTTATCTCAAAATCATCGCAGACCACGTGGTTGTGCCTAGAGAAGTTCACCATCCGTGGAGTTAAACATCAGAGTGTTGGCTGCCTCAGTACAAGCACAATCACATGCCTGTCGTGACAGCATCAGGCACTTTTTCACACTTTCCATCATCCCACAGATCCTTCCATCTCAGGATTGTGGGATAGCAAAACCGTGTAGGAAAGGTAGGCTTTTAATACTCACCAAGAAGTTGGTGTGAGAAGGGAAGTAATCTGTTACTGCAGGGATAGAACAGAAAGATCAGTGTCTGGGGGATAAGAAAGATGACAAGTAGGTTCAGGATCAGTTTTACTTAGAAGATAATACTGAGATAATGAGAATTGTAGTCAAAAAGTGTCAAGCTTATGCAAGATTAAAAGGTAGAGACAGGTTTTCTTGAAACAAAATTTTACTAGCTCACCACTCTAAAAAGAAACTGGACTGTTTCCATGTGATTTCCTTTTTCTCCTCTAACTCACAGTCTGCCCCATCAAGTCCCAGGGCCAGACCCAGGACAGGCCACAGTCCAATTCCACTGCATGAGTGAACACACAGACGTGGCTGGCACTGATTACTGCACAGTTACAAATCTGAAACACAGAGCAACAAACTGACACCAGAGCATCTATATGTACACTGTACCAGATATGACCACTCCTGGAAATGGTCTGTAATCTACAGCACCTGCACGACCCTGGCACACTTTGCTGACATCATGCACATACAGCCTACCTGTCCTTGTAGCAAGCAACTTCTGTCTCCTGTAGGGAGGATTTCACACTGCACTGTACACTCAGTGCTGGACATCTCAAGCTCAATCTGACACCAGGTCAGGGCACAGAGCAGGGTCTTGGGGCACACAGGAGGTAAGTGCATTACAGCAGTACACTACACTACAGTACAACACAACAGAATGTAAATCTGAGGCTCCTCTCCCACCTGCCCTTTACATGATAGTTTGCATCCTCTAGAGCTTGTCTCCAGGAGAACTTCAGTCAATTTGGTTCCAAGCCCAAGGGATTCCAGGATTACTAACAGCACACTCACGGGGAGACAGTTTTTCAAAGTCAGCACTGCAAGTGAAGTTCAGTGGCCTTGAAGAAAGGTCTGCTGTGGAGCACATGCTGAACTCTCTGACAAGAAGTGCCACATTGCCTGCCCTAAGCATGTAACTTATGTGTGAATGAAGACCAAATTGGGGAGCCTAAGTTACCTCTAGAAGCAACAGAAAGGGGTTGATGCTGTCAGGAGGGACGATTTGGCACACTTACATCTATCTGGGCACCTCCAGTAGGAAGTGAGCATTCATTCCACTTAATCAGTAAAACAAATTATTTGTTTGGGGAATTATTGATCCTGACAACCTCCAACAAATAATAAGAATCCTTAATATATCACAGGATTTGACCCTAAGGAGCTGTACCTCAGATACACAAAATGACGCCAGACAAAATACTTTGCACTGATATTAAAATGAAATCCCTACCTTAGAGACCTGGTTTTGGTTCAGCTTGCTGCATCCATCATTCTAGGATATGTTCCTGTGCTACAGAGATAACAAATACTACACCCCTTTACCTAAACCCTTACATTTCATCCTTAAGCCAACAGTTATGCCAAAATTATCCAATAGTGAAAATACTTCTGAAAATACTGCACTGTCAGTCTTTTATGCCATTCACCTGTAGGTGCATAGAGAATCCAAAGGTCTTTTTCCTTTTTCCATTCAGCAACTCTGTCAAACCACACTTTTAATCCAAGAAAAGGTTGTAAGGCAAACACGAGAACCCCATTTGACTCAGATGTGCATCAGCGATTTTTTTTTCCCTGCATGAATAACTGTCACTCCCATTTTCACTTTGGTAATTACAGAAGATGAGCTGATTTTTAATGTTTGTTCCAGCAGAGTTGAAGGTGTTGATTTCATTCAGACTTTAAAGTCTAATTCATGCAGTTGATCCAAAACATTAACCGGAGTGCAGGTTTCATCAATTTGGTAAAGTGTCTTCATAACAACAGATGGTAATTTGTTGATACTTTAGTCTTTAAATGGACTCTGTTACAAAACAACTCAAAATGCTTTCTTAAAAAAAAAAAAAAAAACAAACAAAAAAAACCCAAAACCCAACAAAAATTGCCCCCTCCCAAGTGTTCAGATACTTTAACCCAAAGAAATTGCTGACAGATTTGTTTTCAGCCCAGAAGAGTAAAAAGCTGACAACATATTTTTTGCTGGATATGGTAACTTAGGTTTATTTTTAGGGTTTGTTTTTTTTTTTTAAAGTACACCAAAATAGCAGTGGGCTTAAAAATCACCATCTGCTTCTAGCAATGAAATAATTCTCTGAAGAACAGATAACAGGCATAAAAAGTCCACCCCCAACTCTTTCATTCTCCACAGCAAGACTGAAAGTCAAAATTATATATTACTTTCAAGCATTATTTATTTAATTAAACAATATTGCAGGGTCACAACACCCCTGTAAGTGTTCAATATACCTATTTATCAGTTATCACCAGCATAAACTGTTTACATTCCAGTCAGGATTAACTGAGTGGCAAGTGCTACTGCTATTGCTTTCGTGACTTAGAATAAAGCTGATAACATTTACAGCATAATAAAGACTCTCCCCATTTCTTTCTTTAACTTTGATTTAGTTCAGGCGGGAAAGATTCTAACTTGTAGGGAATTTTTGGTTTTTTTTAATGCCTATTAAAGCTATTCTGCAATCAGTATTTGCATGTAAATAAATCTGAGCTGGTTTGCATCCAGCTAGTTTGGATCCTACTAACAATGAATCACTATGTCAGTTCAAGATGGTGCAGGACCTGGACATTTGCTGAAGCCTGTCAGCACAGTTTCTCAATCCTCAGCAGAGTTTATGCCTCTGACAGCTCGAATGACTGCACGAGAAGACAAAGCCTGGCCCCCATGTCCTGTGCTCTATCCATGCACCAACAGCCTTAGAAAACAACGTGATTTTATTGCTATCACCCTTGTGTCTTTAGAAATTTACACAATGTCAATGGAGCTCGAAAGAGATGGAGGAGGATCCATTAGCTTTCCATGAAAACGGGTTTGATGAAAGAAAAAACGCTCAAGTTAAAGTTCCCTCTGCTCCCTCGCAGAGGAAAACTAGCACAACTTGGTCGTCACGTGTCCTGTGAGGGCTCCAGCCACAAACAGCACATACCCAAGGTTAGATGGCACACACCCCTCCCCTCAGCAGGTGATGTCAGGGGAGTGGGAGCACCGACTGCATGAAAGGATGCCACCTTGCCTTTGGTGGCAAAGGCCAAAGAGGAGGAGAAAACAGTTGGGAGTGGCGATGGGACTGTGTTCGCTGGTTCTGTGATTTCACCCAAGATGGCAAATTCTCAGTTGCAGTAACTGCAGTTTAAAACATTTCAAGGTTTTGAACAACAGAACAGCATTTATCTTTTTAGCATCATTTTCAAGAAAGGTACTTCGGTCTGTTGTTTCCACCCCCCACGAAATTCCATTTAAAAACCATCTTTTTCAGAGATTAAGATCAAATCTTCTAAAGATAGAAAAATGAGATAAAACACTGCAAGATACTTCAAATAACACATAATATGAGTTATAAACAACTAAGTTCACAAAATGAAGAAGTAGTAGTGTTTAGCAAGTACCATTTCTGACAAATAAGTCTTGCGGTATTTATTTAAAATCAAACATCACAACAGAAACAACTCAAAAAAGGAGATGCCCATAGTTCATATTTATACTTGGCGGATCAGAATTTTTGTGAAATTAAGTGACTAGCATTGAAAAGACCTGCTAGTGACCACTGCAGGAACAGTATTTAGTCTGACTTTCACATTTTGAGAGCAGAAAGATAATGGAGAAACATATGCTTTGTCATCATACCTTGCTTTGGCAAGGACAGAACTTACAGTAACATGCAAGAATCCTCTGTCTCTAGTAAACAATTAAGAGATATTTTATTTGTGAGGGAAATTTGGTCTTTTTCTGAGTCAGTAGTCAACAACAAGAGAAAGGAACTTCTCCAAGAAAGGGGAAAAAAGAAAGTAATTAAGGGAAGTGGTGGGTTGAAAACTCTAGTATTCTCTGGACATTTTCAAAGGGGACCCTCTTCACTGAAGAACAAAAAAGAAAGAACAGACTATGAATAGCCAAGATTCCTAGTGATCTCACTGGGAATTACACATTTATTTGGAAGGCATTAAAGGAATAAAACTGCAGAAG